ATGAAGTTAGAAATAATAGAAGGCTATATTTTCCAATAAAGAAGCATCGAAAAATATGTACGGCTTGTGCGTGTGATAAGGAATCGTCTTGATTTTACCCCTTACCTAGGGTTAAAATGGTCTATGAGCATGATTAGGCTCTTCTGCTTCAGATTTATAAGTATTATTGACTTGTAATATACTTTGTACCTAATTGACCTCGGATCGAAGCAGCGATATTGAAGGTCAAAAGGAAGGAGGCAGATATGCATTTAAAAAACGTGATCTTTCCTAATGCCTTACATCACTCAACGCTTATGTGATGCAAAAAGTGGCAATCCAATGCTCATAATTAGTATAAAAACCTTGGAGATAGTAATTCACCGACTCAAAAATGAACCCGAATAAACCATTAAGTTAACGTGGCAGTTTTTCCAGAAAAAAAAAATTAAAACTATACTAAATGAACCAGTTCTGACGAGCAGAATTTGATGCCAAACTAAAGAGCAAGAGAAAGTTAAAGTAGCTCACTAAGGTTGCAATGTCCTCTTCTGTGAAGTCGTTCTGTTTAGACATCACCTCACCTATTCGCCGCTTTACCATCTGCTGGTAGTGCCGGCAATCATTGTCATTATCCAGGAGACCGTTCGTGTTGGCTGACTTGACCATCTGTACTAGGATTGGCGGTAGTTCACCCTCTAGAGCCAGAAAGCCCTTAGCAAAGGCTGCAGCTGTCATTTGGACTCGGCCCTCATCAGAAGCATAAATCTTCAGATCATGTCGGTAGGTGCTGTGCAAACGAAGCAAGCCGAGGCCAGGATTTTTGCCATAGTTGCCATCGCCCCCAGGATAAATGCAGCGAAAAGCTCGTCCTAGGTCTTCGGCCTGCTGCCGCCCAGCTGCCGTCAACTCACCACCCCATTTGACCACAAGCAACAGGCTTGGCTGATCCTCACATTCTTCTGGCTGGCAAATACCTACTGATTGTGTATGAATATAGTGGTAGGCGTGGCGTAGGGTGTGTTCAGAAGGCAGACATATATTAACATAAAGCTAGTTGGAGGAGCGATCGGTAAGGCAAGTTAAGAAATCATATAAACATGAATTCATATTGATTCAAATCACTAATAAAGCTAAGAAATGCAGTAGATCTTTCTCTTAAACGAAATTTGTGTTAATTGAAATGGTTGGGTATTAGCTTAAATACAAAAATACAAACAAAGTGTATGAAATATATTGTACAAGTTATGGGAAAATATAACATCGTCAAACACCCCTGTGATAGCTAGCATCAATTTTAAAAACAAATCATAAGATCAGATTGTAATACGATCACTGATTTCCGGTGCACCATTCTTAGTACAAGTAAAGACATTAGGTAACTAATTATTCCTCATAATCGTGTTTTTGGAGCAAATGAAGCAATATTAATGTGGAACAATCTCATATAAAAATCAAATTTCAAGTAATCATCGCTTTTATTTCGCTTTGAAAATTGCAATTAAGAACCTCAGTTACTAGAATAAACCAAACAAAGAGGATCCATGGTCTGCTGAGCATTCGTGTAAAAAATAATAGTAGAAATCACGATAAGGCTCGCCCATGGTAATCTGAAGTTGAATAAAATTTTGTAACAAGAGATTAGTATGAGGGAGCAATCGTTAAAGCAATAACCAAAAATACTGGTATGCTAAAGGAATAATTGAAAACCACTTTACCTTCAACATAATCTTAATTAATCGAGCTCCAATTCGGGCCGAGTAAGTGACAAGAATTGTATGTAGTTCATACTTTCTGCATGCGAACGGGCTAAAGTTATCTCTTAATGTGTTGTAAGTAGAACTAAATATATGGCCTGGTCTAGGTAAGCCTGTAAATTGCAGTTCACAATATCTCCTTTCCAGAATAGGATCTAGCAACAATCTGTCATTCTTGCATAAATTTCTCTATGCGATTATCCTGATTAATGTATTCCCCGGCTTTTTTACTTCAATATATATCTTAAAATAAAATGCCTTATTTATACCACCATAGCAAAAATGTTAGATTCGAAATTATTGTTGTTTATATAATAGTTAAGTTATGTGGAGAAAGTTATATGGTATAAAATTATAGTATATAATAGCCAGAAGGAATTCAATGCATTTACGACACCATAGACGTATAAGTTAATTGATTGCAAGACTGTCAAAGTCTCGTTAGATATTGTCTTTATGCCCCAACTTCGCACTTATTGCCTGGACGATGGCAGAAAGGCTAGAACAATGTCTAAGGTTATCCAACTTTAATGTTCCTTGCGCTGTATTGTTGGGGAGACCTTCATTTCGTATGAAAGTACATGGTGAAGAGATTCGTAGATTGATCTCATCGACTGAATACCGTTATACTACATCCGTTTGGCTTTACTACGAATATATGATCAAACTCGACGAACACTATTTGGAACAGGCAATACTAACCCCTAAATTGTTGGTTAGACACATAGATGACTATTTTGTGATCTGGCCTCAGGGTAAGGGAAGCTGAGATAGTTTCCTACTTTTACTTAACTAATGTGAATGGAACATTAGGTTCACAATGGAAATAGAAAAGAATAAGTCCTCAACCTTTTTGGATGTACTTATCATTAAAGAAAATGATAAGTTAGGAAGAGTTGTTTATAGGAAGTCAATATATTTTGACTCTTTTCTGAATTATATTTCCAACCATAATTACAAAAATAAAGTTGACAGTCAAAGATTATTTGGAGTATGAGACAAGTTGATAACAACGATTTGATAAACGAGTTGGAACGGCTGAAAAATTTATTCCTGAAAAATAATTATCCATTGTGCCTAATCGTTAATAATATCTCATTACTAAGGAATACATTTTAAGACGGAGGCTATTTAGTCACATCCTGATTTTGCCATCATGCTTTCCTTGAAAAAATGTAGGCGAGTTATTAGGAAAGTGGAGGATAGTAACCCTCACACTTTATTCAGTTATGTCATCTTTTAGAGAGAAATATACGAATTATCGAGATCCGGCGACTACAAGATAATGTGATTTTGTGGTCGGCCTTATAATGGTGAGAAATGCAGGCCCATTAGACAAGGACTAAAGGAACACAAAAATGCTTGTAAAGGAAGCTGAGTCTAACGACCAGATGTGGCCGAATACATGAAAGAAACTGTACAGGAGATAGAAGGGTCTCAAATAAGTAGGTTTCATGATTATGGTATGTCTAGTGTTAAAAGAAAGATAAGAGAGGCTATTGAAAGTAATAGATTAGGGAACACGTTGAATATGAGGAACGCTGATAGAAAGTTAGGTAAAAACGACTTAAGCTTGATTGATTGATTGAAAGGCGTTAAGCCTTCATCCAAAAGAAGGCAGTGAAAGTAGCAGATCCAGTATAAAGGATAGTTAGCCAAACCAACCAATATCTGTTATCGAAGGAATGAAGACCAAGATGGTGTGGCCTTTTGTGTGGTCGCAGTCTCCTTTCATTGTAAGGTGGTTGTTTGACCTTGTTTTCGCAACTTGGTCATAAGGTTTGAAAGACTTAAAAAATGCACCTTGTCTTGAGTTCATCGTATGCATAACTCTTTGCGGACTCTTTGACGAGTAGCTGTATGGTGCTTAGGATGGCGATACTCACTGACGATGCCGACTACGATGCCGGC